AAATTAGGAGCAACTTTTTCTATCGAGAACTGCTGCAAGGGATTTCACCCCCATTTTATGAACTAACACTCAGAAAGGGGCAGTGACTTACCCAGGGTCACAAAGCTACTAAGAGCTAAGATTTACACCCAAGCATCCCAAGGCCAAGACCAACACTCTTCATCACTATGCCCAGGCTTTCTAAATGGAGCACCCCCTCCTTCTCCATGATCCCAAGGAGCCATCGGGGTCCTCCCAGTTTGTGGCTCCATTCCATCCCCTCCCCCAGGTTCCTGACACCTAGGCTCTTACCTCATAGACTCTTGCTCCCTTACGGACAAAATGACATCTGAAAACCCAGATCTTACCAAAACGAGAAATCAGAGGCTGCCATTACTTCTGCTTAATAATGGAGAAAGTGCTGGACTTGAGTGTAAATCCTACCTTTCACACTTACTAGCTGTGTGACCATGGGGCAAGTGCATTAACCTCTCTGAGCCCCAGTTTCCTCATCTGTAAAATGGGGATAATACTACATATCATAATCCTGGTTTTTGTGAGAAACAAAGGAGAAACTGTTGTAGAGGCTGTGCAGTAAACCTAAAATGCTAGAGAATGGTATTACAGTATTAACTTATATTGATATAATAATAGCTTTTTTCTTAGCTAGATCTAAGGTACATAAGGCATTTTATATACATTTTTCATATGATTTCCCATCTCATCTCAGTTGCCTGGAACACTGGAAAGAATCAGAGGACCTGTGCTCAAACCCCACCTTCAGAGACATACTGCCTGTGTGACCTTGACAAAGTCCCCTTCCTTCTTGGGCCTCAGTCTCCTCCTCTGTAAAATGAGATTGGACTAGATCAGGGGTGGGGAATCTGTGGCCTCGAGGCCGCATGTGGCCCTCTAGGCCCTCAAGTGAGGCCCTCTGACTGATTCCAAACTTCACAGAACAAATCCCCTTAATAAAAGGATTTGTTCTATAAAACTTGGACTCCGTCAAAAGGCCACATGTCAAAAGGCCACATGTGGCCTCGAGGCCACAGGTTCCCCACCCCTGCACTAGATGGCCTCTGAGGGGCTTTCTAGCTCTAGATCCAGGCTCCTCTGTGTGACCCAGGATGAGCCACTGTACCTATTCGACCTTACGATCATCACAGCAACTCGGTGACATAGGTACTGCTAGTATCTCCATGTTAAAGATCAAGAAATTAAAGGTCAGAGAGGTCAAATGACTTCTCTAATGTCACCGGGCTAGTGTCAGAGGTGGGATCCCAGCCCAAGGCTTCCTATCTCCAAGTCAGGCTGATCTAGGCACTATGCAACGATCTCCAAGGTGTCCTTCCAGATCTAATTCCTAGTTCTGACACTAGCTATGATCCAGCCTCTTGCCTGGCTCCCCTGCCAGGCCCTGGCCTGCCCCATCCCCACTCCTCCTCCCCTAGAGCTCGAAAGCAGCCGCGAGGTAGGAAGGCTCATTTCTTGGAGCTATTTCCAGGGCCAGTGGCCCTGCCCTCACTCTGGGGCAGCCTTTCCTGGCTCAGGGACACCCTCTTTATGATTTGTCCTTTGCCTCAGAGAGTCCTTGCTCAGGTTACCGATTACGTGGGTGTGAAGTGTTTGGGGATGGAATGGGCCTGTCTCCACTGCCCCCACACCCTGTGCAGACAGGCCCCTATTCTGACAGCCCCTGCCATCCAGGTGGCTAAAAGCTTTGAGCTAGCAACCCAGTGAGGTAGTCTAGACAAGGACAGAGGGTTTGTCCCCAGGGTCTCAGCCCCAGAATACCAAAGGGTAAACCAGGTCAGAAGTGGGGGAAGATACATTCCAAGTGAGAACAGAGCTTGGAGAAAGGCGTGTGGAGTTTCAGCCCCTGAGCAGCAAGGAGAGCTAGGAATGGGAAGGAGAGCCCGAAGGCAAGAGGTGGCCCTGGGAGACTCTGAGAAGAGGAACTACCCCTGCTGTTTGGTCCTCAAAGGGGGAGAGAGGAGAAAGGGGAGGAAGGGAAGGGTGAGACCTGGTGGCTAGCTCCAGATACACAAGCCCTCCCTGGCTACAGGGCAAGTTGTAGGCTTAATCCCTTAGGATGGAAAGCTGGAAGGGCTGCTCAAGCCCCCCTCTGCTTTACAGATGGGGGAATGAAGGTCACACAGGGGCCAGAATTCTAATGGAGCTCTTTTCCTCCAAGGCAGACTGTAAACAGGTGATGCTGGGGTGGGGAAGGGGACAGACCAAGAGGGCTCACAAGGGTTGGATTGGGGAGGGGTAAGGATTCCTGAAGACCAGCAGTAATGACTATCTCTATTTGGCATCCATGGCCAGAGACCGACGTGCATGCTGTTTGACAGTATGGCCAATACGTGGTGTTACCTGGCCACCAGCCCCACTCCCACACCCATAAGCCAGAATACAGTGAGAAGAGTTCTTGTCTTAGGAGTCAGGAAACCTTGATCTGTTTCCCAGCTGTGTGACCTTTGGCTGGGGGGGGGGGAGGGAATCACCTCTTTGAGTCTCAGTTTCTCCATTTGGAAAATGAGGAGACTAATAATTGTACTTCCACGGGCTTACAAGGAAAACACTGAACCTCAGAGCACTAACAAAATGGGAGTTGGAACAACAATCACAGCTTCCTCATCCATTAAATGGGATAATAACATCTGCCCTACCTATTCTCTCCTAGTATTGTTGCAAAGATGAAATAAGACGACTTGGTAAAGGCTTTGTAAACCATGAGGATCGTAGAACCTCAGAGGACATCTAGTCCAACCAAGTCACTTTGCACATAAGGAAAGTGAGTCCCAGAAAAGGAAAGAGACTTGCACAAGGTCATACAGGCAGCCGAAGCCAGCACTCTCAGCCATATAAATGCCAGCTCTCACTCCCCTGTCTGTCTTGCTCTTTCTCTGACCTTACTATGTGAAGCACTTGACCTCCCACCTCCCAATGAGTCAGTAAGTTGTTTGAAGGCTTGGCATCTCACTTGCATCCAAACCATCCCTCCCTCCATCCACACAGAGTACTGGCACATAGTAGGTGCCTGACAAAAATGGTGAGAGAGGGCAGAAGGGCTGGCCCCACTAGGTGTTGGGAGGCTGACACCATCTTGATTAGACCAGGGCCTTCCTTCCTGATATCCAGCTCCTGGCTGGCCCTGCTGCGGAGCTCTCAGGAAGAGAGAAAACTGGACAGCTCCCTCGAGGCTGGGGCCGAAGGAGAACTCCCTGAGTTCTCTTTCCAATCCAGGGAAGGGGAGAAAGGAGAATCTACTTTTTTTTAAAAAATGAGAGAAAATAGGAGTTGAAGAAGGGTGAGAAAGTGAAGTACTTGTCATAGGATTGAGCCCCACCATTGGACAGAGAGGGAAACTGAGGTTTACAGAGAAGTGCCCTGTCCAAGGTAACACAGGTAGTGTGGAAGCCAGGTGGAACCCTGATTCCAAATTCAGTACTTTTTACATTGGCAGAAAGGTGTCCCTCCCTCCTCCCTGGTTAGTATGGAAGTCATCTTGAACTTTTCCCCCTACCCCCAGACCCCCAATCCTGTACCTCCCAGGCACCAAAACCCACTAAGCCTCAGCTTCTTCCCCTTTGTCGTGAGCTGGGCCTGGAGTGGGGGTGGGAGGGGAATGCCTGGCAGATATGCCCATCATCGGCAGGTATGCCCATCATCGGCAGATATGCCCATCAGCAGGGAGCTGGGTGGATCTCAGGAATGAGGCCAGCTGGAGATGGGAGCTGGCAAAGGCAGGGGAAGTCATCGACAAGCAGAGGATGACCAGCCCTTGGTGGTGCTGGTGGCTGAGTGGGTGGCCAGTTGCCAGAGCCTGGGGTACTGCGAAGCAGGACAATGGGGTTTCTTTTCTTTGTGCCATGGTTGGGCAAGATCTGTGCCCACTCAGGGCAGTGTAACTTCCTCTCCACATACCTAACTACCCCTTCCCCCAGGGAAAAAGTTTCAGGATTTCATCTTTGCTATAGCTTGATGCTAACAGATGCGTGTGAACAGGGGCAAAAGGGAAGGAAGAGGGACAGTGACAGAATCAAGAGAGCATTGGACTGGCAGCCAGGATCATAGGATTCTAGACTAAAGCACCAAGGGACTTTAGAGGTTATGGAGTTCAACCCACTCATTTTACAGATTAGGAAAGTGAGGCCCAGAGAGTACAATCGACTTGTGGGAGACCACACAGGTAGGAAGTGGCAGAACCAGAACTCAGGAGACCTGGCTCATCCCAAATCTGCCACTTGATTGATATGTGACGATGGGCAACTCACTTGAGCTCCCTGAGCCTCAGTTTCCTCATCTGTAAAATTAGAGGGGCCAGGCAGGGAAAGGAGAGAGAATTGCACTAATGACTCTTGAGATCACCTAGTGTAATCCTCTCATTTTATAGAGGAAAAAACCCAAGTTGCACAAGGTCACAAAGTCAGGGGCAGAGATAGGACCACCCAACACTCTTCCCACTTGACCAAAGCCTTTGGTGACCTCTAAGGTGCCTTCAAGTCTGACTCTTTCAGCATTTCCAGAGGATAAAGGGAGGGACAGAAAGCACCCGATCTCCAGGCCTTTATCGGAGAGCTCTGGACCGGGTCCAACCTGCAGGAGGTGGGAAGGGGGGGGGGAGATGATTTTTCTTCCCATGGGTCAACTGAGCAACAGCTGGGCTCCAGCCCTGCGGGCCAGGGCCTATGCAACAAGTGTCACGTCTGCATGCTGGCACATCCTCCACCCACTGGGGCTCGGGTGGGGGGGGTAGCTCCCTGGAATCTTCCTGCCCCAGCCAGCCCAATCCCCTCCCCCGGGGGGCACTTCATGCCCTCAGAGCTGGGCTCCAGCCCCCCTCAGCCCCCCCCAGCCCCCGCTCGGGGCCGTCCTGTCAATCACCTCTCGGCGCGTGGCTCAACTCCCCGGGGGGGGAGGGCGGGAGCAGAGGGGGTCTAGGAGCTTGTCAGAAGGAGCAATCGGGGGCGCGGACACCTCCCTGCCTCCCCCCAGCCTCCACCCCCCACACTCACCTCCACAAACCGAAGTCAAGGAGAGCCAGAGAAGCAGGAGCGCCTGCAAGCACAGGCTCAAATTCATGCTTCGGCCGGGCCGGGCCGGGCCGGGCCGGGCTGGGCTGCCGCCGCTGCTGCGCCGCTGGCCGCGGTTAGGGGGGCGGGGAGGGCGCCGGCCCTGGGGAGCCGAGCTACAGAGGAGAGCTCGAGCTAGCGGAGGTGCGTGCGAGGGGGGCGTGGACGCGGGGGTGGGGGGATTTCAGCCCGGCAGCCCGCGCCTGCGTCTCTGCGTCCGGCCAGCCGGCCGCGCGTGCCGCGCCGTGCCTTGCCTTGCCGTGCCGTGCAGAGCGCAGCCGAGCGGACCTTGGCAAGTAGTGCAAAGAGTGCCGTGCAATGAGCGCCGCGCCGGGCCCCGCTGCAGGCTGCCCGCTGCTAGCTCGTTGCCTGCCTCCGGGTCCCCTGCGGCGGCGGCTGCCTGCAGGGAAGGACGGACGGACAGACAGACCGAGGCTGGCTGGCTGGCTGGCTAGCAGAAGGCTCGCGATCTCGCGCTGCTCAGCTCGCTCACTGACTAGTTCTCCCTCCTTCCTCCGAGGGGGGCAGCCGGCCGCCTCTGTTCGCCTTGCGGGGGCCCACACGGCAGCCAAGCGACAATGCTGGCCCGATCACTCCCCGGGCTGCATTTTGTAGCCGAGCCCGGGGCTGCCTTGGCCAAGAGCCCGCCTGGTCATGTGGTCATCGGCGGGGGCTGGAGGGAAGGGGGGAGAGGGCCTCCCTCCCCGCCCCGCCCCCCCCATACTTCGGGCACTGAAAGGGGGCGACCCACAACAAAGGCAGCCAGCTCCACCTCCCCGCCCCCCCCCAGCCCCACTCTCCCAGGACAATGCCCGCCTGGCCCTAGGCCAAGGCTAGTGGGTTTCCAGAGACCTGGAGGATTTCAAACGCAGGAAGCATGGGGGGGGGAGGGTAGTCTTAACCCTTTCTCACCTCGTTTCCTCAGCAGCTGTCAGGAAACCTAGGGAAGAAGAAAAGGCAACCCAGACTGTCTCTCCCCACACCCATCCACTCACCCTACACTCAATTCCAGTTGCCAACCTCCAAACCAGAAAGATCTGCTGGAGACAGTTGCAGGGCTAAGCACTGCCCATCACATCTGGAACTGGGTTTGGGGTGACCAGACTGGCCTAATTCTCAGGGGCCTCCCTTTCCTCCATCACAGTGAAGAGTGCAGCGGGCCTCTGCAGTTAGATGTCCCAGCTTCGCAGTTCACCTTTGAAGTTTGCTTATTTAGTACCTGTGTGACATTGGGCAAGTCATTTCCCCTCCCCGTGCCTCAGTTCTGAGGTGCCTTCAGGCTCTAGATCCTGTGACCCTGTTTCACAGTATCTCACGATTAGAAGGGCCTTTGAGGGCATCTCATCAAACCTTACCCAGGTTGGCCTCCCTAGACCTAGAAGATCCTTTCTCCCTGCCCCTTTCTCCTCTCCCAAACATCTGAGGCTTTCCCCAAATAAGGACAACATGGCTCTTGACTTTCATTTACAGATAGGACTAGATGTCCCGGAGGTTCCTTGCAACCCTGAAATTCGCTAGGATTCTGTGACAGTCCTGCTTTGAACCTGCAGCCCTTTGGTTGTTCCATTGGCTTTCCCCATCATCCTGTGCTCAGACTACCTGTTTGCGTATTCAAGTTGTCTTGAATTTGTACTCACCCTTTGGACCAGAGTACTGTAAATGAGATTCTGCAGTTGTTCCTGTCTAGCATATGGAATCATAAATTCGGAGCAGGAAGAAATTCAGAGGCCAGCTAGTTTAAGGTGGTTGGTCCCGTCCAGGTTATCCATCACTTGCCTAAGGCCCAAGGTCATGCATGGGTTTAGTAAGTAGCAGAGCTGAGATTTGAATCAAGGTCACACAAGTAATAAGTAATATTCTGACCCCAAAGCCAATGCCCATCGTACCACTCCAGGCTGACTGCTGAGTCTCCCCTGCTAACTCCATGAAGAGGGGAGAGGAGAGGAGGGATCTGGGTTTCCTCCCCATTCAGGGAGTTCCCTGGGACCAGGATCGTGTCTTTTTCTATCAGCCTGGGAGCTGCCCTGGCTGATAGAGTCTGACTTTTTTCTCAGGACCTTGGCACAGTACCCACTATAAGACTCAACATATAGGTGGCAGTCATAGCATATTGAAAATCAACCTTCACTCCCACTGCTTTAAGCAAATCTGGTACAGGAAGGGCCTGATATGCACAGAAGACTCACTGAGGAATCGCTTTAAAAATAGTGAGTTCTTACTATCTAAAATAAAAAACTTTTATCTAAAACGAAAAACTGGCAAGCTATCTGTCCTCCGACCTGGGAACCCTCCCAATGGAGTAGTAGGCTTAGTTCTGGGTGCTCCACTTTAAGGAGGACTTTGACAAAAACTTGAGATACCCCCCCCAGGAGGAAGACCAGGATGGTTACTCACCCTGGAGAGCCCACTGTAGATGAGAATCCAGTGAAGGAGCAGGGGAGGTTTAGCAAGGGGAAGCTTAGAGGACCCATATCCTGGGGGGCTGGATAAGAGAGCTTTTGTGGAGTGGAAAGTACACTAGGATTTGGGGGGCTGAGAATTTGAATCCCAGGCCTGCCGGTTATTGTGTGACTGACCTTCAGGAAAGTACAACTCCTCTGTGCCTCCTTTTCCTCCTCTGTAAAGTGAGGGGCTCGGACTAGGGGAAGGACACTGGATTCCAAGTCAGAGGCCAAGGGTTCAAATCCTTACTACTTGTGAGGCCTTGGGATGTCAGTTAACCAGAGGAGGCCTCAGTTTCCTCCTCTGTAAAATGAAAAGGCTGGACTAGATGGCCCTGAGGTCTCTTCCAGCCCTAGGATCTTTATCATACCTCCCAGCACCAGCATTCTGGCTCCTAAGCCTCGATGAATGCCCAGGTCCTTCCTTGCCCCAAATCCAATATCCAATGTCATCATTGCAGTCTTCAAACATCTGGAGGGCCACCATGTGGGAGAGGGTAGGCTTTTCCTGTTTGGCTCCGGGGCCAGCATTGGAAGCAATGGGTGGGAGCTGGGGAGAGGCACATTCAGGCTTGATAGAAGGGAGATTTTCCTGGCAGAGAGCTGTTCCCTGGTGGAACGGGTTACGCCTGGAGGTTGTGCTTTCCTCATCCCTGTAGGGGTCAGGGCTCTCCAAGGAGAGGCTGGACGACTGCACGATAGGGATTCTTGTTCACGAGTTGTACTAGAAGGTGTCCGAGATCCCTTCCAAGTCTGAGATTCTGTGATGACATAGGCCTTTTCCCCATCATGATGTGCACATGGTCATGGGACACAGAAGGCTGTGCCAGCAGAGATCAAGATCTGACAGATGCTACCAAGCTGGAAAGGCTTAGAGTGAGGGCCCAGAGACAGACTCTGATCAGCAGGGGACCTGATATATGATTAACAAGGGTGATGAAGGTCACAGTTCAGTCTGTGGGCAGGATGAGGGCTCTCAGGCTGTGCGCAGGCTCATAGAATCCCAGAAAGTGGGAACTGGGAAAAAACTGGAGAGGTCTAAAGCTTGTAGACAGCTAGAAGGGACCCAAGAGGTCTTTTAGTCAACTGCCCTTGTTTAAGGGCAATAGGGAAAACTGAAGTCTGGATTGGGAAAATGACTTCCCCACAGTCACACAGTCACTGTCATAGCTGGCCCTTGAACCAGGCCTTCTGCCACCAAATGCAGGGCTCTTCATCCCCCAACCCTGATGCCTCTTCCATTTTTCTATTTCCTCAACTGTCAAATTGGCAGAACAGGGGCTGCCTCATAGACCTGTTGTGGTATGGAGCAATGGGAAAAGTGCTAGATTTGGAGTCAAAGGGCTTGGATTTGAATCCTGACTCTGTCACTTAAAAGAATTAGTTTTGGTTTTGACTAAGCCTTCTCTGACCACCTCAGTTCCCGTCTCCCCTCTCCATTGAGTTTAAGGTATTTCTACATCAAGCTTTCTGCATGTGGGTGGGTGTGGCCAACCCACATTTGACCGCTTGTGCCCATTCTTATGGGCAGGTAGGTGGCACTGCAGTGGATACAGTGCCAGGCCTGGAATGATGATGACTCCTCTTTCTGAGTTCAAATGTGGCCTCAGACACTGACTAGCTGTGTGACCCTGGGTAAGTCACTTCATCCTGTTTGCCTCAGTTTCCTCATCTGCAAAATGAGCTGGAGAAGAAAAAGGCAAACCACTCCAGTATCTCTGCCAAGAAAACCCCAAATAGGGTCACAAAGGACAACAAAAGCCCATTCTTGTAAGATTTCCTTGAACACCTAGGGGACAGTGTAGTATAGTATAAAGTGTTATATAGTATAAAGAGTACTGGCCTTGGAGCTGGAAGATGGGTTCAGATCCCTATTGTACTGCTTCTTAACTGCATCAATGAATCAACAAGCCCTTGTTACAGGCCAAGGAAGACAAAAGCTGAACACTCCCTAGGGCATCTAGGTGGTGCTGAAGTGGATAGAGTGCTGGGCCTGAAATCAGGAAGACCTGAGTTCAAATCTGGCCTCAGACACTGAGTAGCTGTGTGAACCCGGGCAAGTCACTTCACCCTGTTTGCCTCAGTTTCCTCATCTGTAAAAAGAGCTGGAGAAGGAAATGGCAAACCACTCTAGAATCTTTGCCAAGAAAACCTCAAAGTCGTGGAGAGTTGGACAAGACTGAAAATGATCAAACAACAACACTCCCTGCCCTCAAGTTTGGCACATACACACACACACACACACACACACACACACACACACACACACACACATACATACACATGACTGGGTACAAATCACTGAAGTCCTACAATCACCAGTTTCCTTAACTGTAAAATGGGGATAAAAATCCTTGTGTTCCCTACCTTGCAGGGTTAGAACAACCTGTCATTTGTTGAGGACTTAGGTCCCTAATTAGATTGTAAACTTGTTGAAGTGTTACTGAATGACTATCAGTAATGTCAGCACATTTATCGGTAGGGTCCCACCAGCAGTGGGGATGGGGCTCACGGAGCCATCCACATACCTCCAGCCACTTCCCAGGTTGGCAGACAAGAAGCATTTGCAAAAGAAGGTAGCCTTT